GGCAGGGCAAAGGCGGCCCCAGGGCCGCTTGTGCCCTGCCCCCCAGTTCTTAGATCCCCCCTGGGTTTCTGATCACTGTCAATGGCAGGGGGCTTCTTCCTGCTTTCCCTTCGCCTCCCTGCATTGTGCCTACATATGCAAATTAACTGCCATCTTGTTGGCAGTTAACTGCCAATCTTAGTTGGCAGTTAACTGCCAATCTTAGTTGGCAGTCAATTTGCATATAGCCCTGATTAGCCAATGAAAAGGGTAGCGTCCTACGCCAATTACCATTTTTCTCTTTTATTAGTGTAGATATGTATTCAGAATTGAAGGACCATGTGCCTATTTTAGAAAATAGAATCTTTTATGTATACTGTATTTTATTCTGTAAGAAGAGCTGCATAACAGCAGCTACAGTCTATGCTTTAAATTTATGTATCATTACAATAGAGCCCTTTCCATTTTCCTTAACATAGTGCACAGTAGGTGAAATCTAGAATTCGTATACTTAAAGCTCACAGAGACTTGAATGTTCTTCGGACTTAGAATGTTGTGAACACTGCGTCACTCCTAGAATCTGCAGCTGTAATCTCCAGCTGAGATCAAAATCCTCATCCTTGGCTAAAGAAAAGAAACTGAGATTTGCTTGGATTCTTGTTCATCAGGATAACAGGGATTGAGCAAGTTATAAGGAGACATTCCATCAGGTCAAGTGCCTTCAGTGGAATTGCCTGTTCCAAGGAGAACCGGGTTTGCTGAATATATCTAGTTATCTTTTCATTGCAAAGTCTTTTGAAGACTACAGGGCCCTCCTCTACTAACCCAAAGGAGAAGCCACAGGAAACCCCGGTGAGAAATGTTTAGGGAAGAATCGGTTTACTTGGATTTTAATGACTCTGTGACTAGCTGGCAGGTGCTCCTTGTTAACAAGGTTTAATGTGTGCATGCTGCAGTTCATGTGGCATGACTGTCTAAAGAAGTCAATCACAAGAGTGATAAGAACAACATTACATTTGGATGTTGCCAAATTTTCAAATAAAGGTAAAAGGTTGATTTCCTAGGAATGAAATGAGCCTTAGTAAATACACATCACGTGATGGCGAGTGTCCTGTAATCTGGTTTCAGTTAATCAGGAACCAGAATGAGAATTAGAAAGCTTAGGACATGTGGCTCTCAGGAATCAAGGTGGGGCGTGTGTTCATATGTGTGAATAATAAATCAGGGCACCTTCAGGAACTGTCACGTCCAGTGATATTGGAATGTATTCCTTTACCAGTCATTGCTTTTAGTGGAAGATTCTGCTCTAGGACTTGTGTGGCGAGGGCTGTGCTGCCCAGTGACTACCACTAGCCCAGAGAGAGGAATATGTATTGATTGTGATACCACCTGGGGGTTAATGTCAAATTCTCTTTTTCTTCATAAATCAAAATAAGTATTTAGCAGCCCTGCACTATTCCCAAGTAAATGTTAAAGAGTAATAAGCCCTATGAGGGGTCCTTAAAAGTGCAAAACTTGGATACAGGGAATTTTATGCCTTGTGACTGACAATGTTGGGAGGCTATGCACCAGGTTTCCCTTTTTTGCAATCGATCTTTGAAAAAGAACTACATTGTTTAACTTTAGGGACATTGAGTTTTAAATATGGTTTTTAAAAATTGAATAAGATTATTTAATCCAACCTTTTTTATAGGTAAGAGAACGTAAAGTGATAGAAACAGGTGAAATTCAAATGTTTCCATATCTGCTCTCCGATACTTTCTCCAGTGTGCCATGGGCCTCAGTGTGTGTGTTCGTGTTTATATTTATATTTGGCTTGAAACCCTCTCATACCTGAGCAGCAATAATTCATAAATTTTTGACATCTAAATTTCTGATTTAAAAATTCAATTTCCTGCCATTCATATTTAATCGGTACCTCTCAGATGATTGCTCTCAAATTTGAAACCTGGGATTATAGATCCCAGGGGGCATTCAGAAAAGAGAATTTGTGCCTTTTCTTTAGAGAATTCTTGAAAAGTATAGATACACTTGACAAAATTACAATTCATCTATCTTTAGTTAGACATTTTAATCTGAGCCGAGCCTAATATGCTTCTCTAATTATAGTGATATATTTTCCAAATTACAAAGCAAGACACATGGCCCGACACATGGTCTTGGAATTCTAGATGTTTGGTACAGTAATATTTGCTTAATGGTGAGCGACATTATTCTCTGGAGCACATGAAAAATCAAGTGTTTCTCTTGGTAAGCTATTCCCAAAATATCCTACGTAGTTTCTTGCAATGTCTGTGCTTAACTAATTATAAAATTAAAAATACTTTTAAAATACCAAATGGAATTAATGTTCATTATAGAAAACAGCCAGGAAATATGAGCAAAATAAGAAAACACTGAACAAATATTTCAAAATTCTTTAGTGCAAAGAAAGAGGCGTATTAATTTTAAATGCTTCCATACTTTCAAATCCCACTCTTCCTTGTTTACAACTAAAAAAGCCCAAACACTAAAAAAAAAAAAAAAAAAAAATTTAGAGAGTCACCGAGTAAAACTATGTCCTTACTAAACGCTGCCTGAGTTTTAGGAATCTGTATAATAAACATGAAATCGGTCACCTGACCACTCTCCCCCTCATCTCATTCCACACACCCATCTTCCCTCAAAAAAATTTGCGTCCATAAAGCGCAAAGCCTCTAGGCCTAACATGTAAAGCGGGTTTGTGCCCAAGCTGGTATACACAGCCGGCCCCGCGGACACCCTACTCCTCGACGAGTTTCACTTTAACTTCCTTCAGCAGGTTGAGAACGAACGCCCCACACTTTTAAGGGGAAGGCGGCACCCAACTGATGGTTTCCCGGAATCTCGCCTTGAGTGCAGAGGAGAGGGGAGAAGGGAAGGCTAGGCGATGGGCGTTTCATTCATTGCTCTCTTCCCCTCCTCCCACGCTTCCCTCCCCAAGACTTTCTCTCCCCGTTTCCAGTGCGAGTTTGACGTTGGTCTCCAGGATACCAGATAGCCAATCGTCTGGTTGCTAAGGGAGACGCGCGGCCAATCGGGCGTCGTTGCTACCTGTAATATTTTTAGCCGGGAGGGACTCTCGGTTCCACTCCCAACGTCAACTTCGTGTATTTCTCTGCTGCAGGTTGTGAAAAAGGGCGCTCCCCACCCCCACCTTGAGTCTCTTTCTCTCTCTCTCTCCCACTCAGACATATTTTCAACCGAAAATTATCTTTAACGCACATTACAGGAAGGCACCGTGTTTAATACGTGTGTTTGTGTTCAAGCAGGCACTTGAAACACACGCAGATATATATATATATACACACACGTAGATATGTTTGCAGTTTGGCACGGAGGCCTGGGTTGGGACATTGGGAATAAAAAGCAATTCTTCTTGCAGTCTCACCCCAGCCCTCCGTCCGAGTGCCCGCCCGGGAGGTCTGATGTGGAATGCGGAGGCAGTTAAACTGTCACCCGGGCGGGAGGTGTGGCCTGGTGGTCTCCCCCCACCCCCAGCCTGACACGGCTGCTTGGGGTTCTGCAGTTGTCACCCTCTGGGTGGCAGTTGGCTTGGGCCCCGGAGGTGATTAATATTCAATCGATCGGGTGCACGAGTCCCCGTCACCGTTCGTCCTTTCTCTAGGCTCTCCCGGGTGCACGGGAGGCCGACCTGGTAGCTTGCCCACGAATGGGTTTTCCTCGCCACAGTCCCACTCGGGTAGGGCCACTTTCTGTAAACTCTCCCCTCCCAGCTCTTCCCGCAGCTTCGCCACCTGCTTCGCTCCCCTCCCCCTTCTGCCTTGCGCTCTCCGCCTCAACCCAGAGTCAGCCGCCCCACCCTGCCTGTCACCCTTACAGGCACGTCTCTCCCCCAATCCCTTTCCAAGTTGTGTGTTAATCCCGCCCACGAGACTCCATATCGTCGGTTCATTGGCCACCCTGGAGCCCGAGAGGTGAGGCCTGGGCCACCCTGGCCCTCGCTGCCCGTCAGCACCAGGGCCGGC